AGAGCCATGATATGAGACAGAAAGAAATATGAATTTAGAAAACATCTTTGCTTTTCTTCATATCTATCATACTTTTCATTGAATATGTCTATCATACCTTTCATTGAATATATATTTGTATATGTCTATATAATTAATGTTTAAGTTTTCCACAATGAACAATGAGTTTTTCGTGCACTGACTTTTGAAGTTTCCAGGAAGAAGATGGGACCCCCCATAACAACAACTCCACTCGGTTGATATGACGTCATGATACTGATAGTACTACTTCAAGTCCTGTTCCGGGTATCAGCTACACAGATGATTCCAACTTGGTTAGCTGAAATGGTGCACATCTTGAACAACATTCTGGCCAGACCTCCGCAAAATACTCAGAGACTGTTTGCAATTTTAAAAGACATTGATCTTGAAATTTAACCATCATTTTACTTTCACAGGATCCTCCAGAAAGAACCTTACCCCCATGACAGCTAATTCTAGACGATGTCCCCTCTCTCAGCAAAGTTTGTCCTCGGGTTTAGGAACAATATTTAGGGATTGATTATAATTAGTATACGGTTGAGAGTTGGGAAAGGAATTTTATAAGCTCAGGGATCTTTTGGAAAAAAAACGGGGGATAATTGGATAGATAATTATGGTATTTGTGAGTTATTGTTTATAGATAATTACATCGGCATATATTGAATATTGTATGTATGCATGCATCTACCTATTAAAAACATTTTTATGTATTGATATATATTGTATTGATATATGTATGCCATATTGCAGTGTACATTTCTACCTCTGATTATGATACTCATATATTGTTTATGTATTGATATTTATTGTTTACATTTGGAGGTCATTGTCCTCATTTATTGCACAGTTGTTTATTCTCTTAGTCATTAAGTTAGATACATGTTAAGAATTGTAGATCAATAGTCATCTATGTCTGTCATATTTATGGTTAGACTAATCAGGTTCGTTAGATACATAGAGATTATATATAAATAGTCTTCAACCTCTTCAAAGAGCTGTAGAAAATGGCATTTAATTTAATCTTAGTGTTCTGGGTAGTGAGACACAATCATTCCTGGCAACACCGACCTATTCCCGAGAGATTGTTGAGCACCAAAGACACTCCACTTGGAGCTTGTCTTCTTGGCAAAACTGGCCTCTGGGTAAGGAACTGCCCATACCTCAACTACTGACAAATACACGGCATCCAGAAATGGATAAACAGAACTGTCCAATCTTGCCAAAACAGGGTAAGATGGTTTTGAAAAATCTCTTGCCTGTTAAAATCTGGAAATGGATAAAATCCGGAAATAGATAAACAGAACTGTTAAATCTTGCCAAGACAGGGTAAGATGGTTTTGAAAAATCTCTTGCCTGTTAAAAATAATCTGTCAGTTATTCTAGGCCTTAGTCAAAGTTGGTTGCTTCAACGCTACAAACAGGTCTTTGGTGATTGCCCAGGTAGCCAGTTGTCTCTGTGATTTGTTGCATGTTTTAGAAGTTCTTTGATTGCACTTCCTAATTACTCAGGTAACATTATTTCCCTTCTCGGATCTTCTATGGGGTTGAAGACTAGATAAATGTAGCTACTTTCTTCTCATGACTTGGCCAAGTTATTTATTATACAAGACTTTAGCTAGTTAGAATAGGATATTTGTACTTATTGTATATAATTGTGTAGGTTTGTACTTACTGTATATAACCATACTGATGAATATTTTGCATATCACCATAGAACCTTCATCTGGCGATGGATGGAGATTGAGACAGAGACCCACATTGGAACACTGGACTTAACTCCCTAGGTCCAAACGAGAAGCAGAAAGAGAGAGAACGTGAGCAAAGAAGGCAAGACCAGAGGGAACCTTCACCCGCTGATGGATGGAGATTGAGACAGAGGCCCATATTGGAGCACTGGACTGAGCCCCCAAGGTCTAAATGAGGAGCAGAAGGAGGGAGAACATGAACAAGAAAGGCAGGACCGTGAGGAGTACGTTCACCCACTGATACAAGGGGACTGATCTAATGAGAGTTCACCAAGGCCTGTTGGACTGGGACTGAACGAGCACGTGATCCAACCAGATTCTCTGAATGTGGCCAGATTCTCTGAATGTGGCTGGCACAGGGTCTTTCTGAAAAGCCATTGATAATGACACTGGGACTTGTTTCCTCTGCATATACTGGATTTTTGAGATCCAGTCTGTTTGGATGCTCACCTTCCTGGACCTAGAGGGAGGGGGGAGGAACTTGAACTTCCCACAGGGCAGGAAACCCTGACTGCTCTTAGGGATGGAAAGAAAGGAGGAGAGGGAGTGGGGGGATTGGGAGGGTGTTGGGAGGAAGGGCGGAAATGGAAACTTTTATAAATTAATAAACTTTTATAAATAAAAAAATGCAATCCCCATCAAAATCCCATCAAACTTCTTCACAGACCTTGAGAGAATACTGTATATAATTTCGTAGTAGGCTTAGAACTCTCTTACTTAAACAAAATGGGGAGGTGCTGCGGGAGTACCTTCCGCTGCTTCAGCCAATAGTTGCTGAAACAGGAGCCCACGGTGCTGCGGGAGCGCCTTCCGCTCCGTCAGCCAATAGCCACTGAAATACCAGCCCACTGGGGCGTGGTATATTTCTCTTTTAAAAAGAGCCACAGTTCTCGGCTTGGGCCTCTTGGTTCTGGCGCTTGCTCCCGGCTCCTGCTCCAGCAACTAGGCTCCCTTCCCGATGGTTTATGGTGTATGTATGTTTTGCCCCCAAAATAAATACCCCGTTAAAACATAATTGGTGTGGGATTGATTCGCCATTATGCACACATGGGAATATGCACACGCTCTCATACGTGCACACACACTCACATGCGGGAGGGAGTAAGGCAGTTGTGACAGGCATGCACTCTGTTTTAAAAGCAGAGGGGCTGGAGAGATGGCTCGGCAGTTGGGAGAGCTGGCTGTTCTAGAGGACCCAAGTTCAATTCCCAGCACCCACATGGCTGCTCACAACTGTCCGTAACTCCAAGATATGACTCCCTCACACAGACATGCATGCACACCAATGCACAGAAAATAAAAATAAATTATTTTTTTAAAAAAAAACAGAGAAGTTGAAGACCACATTGTAAGAAATTATTCTGCCATAACAGATGAAGGAAGCTATAAATAAGCCCTTAAAAGGTAATAAAAAAAACCAATAAAGTGTACCTGTGTGGGTGTCACTTGTCGTGATATCTCCTGTATTCACAATCAGGACATGTCTCCCACACACTGACCTCTGGGCTACCGTGCCAACTTCAGAGATCTGGAAGATTCATGCCAGAAACTCAAGTTGCCCCAGACTCTAACTGCCTTCAGTATATCCCTCTGATTCTGGGACCAGTCTCCCAACGTCTCCTGGCCCGAGTGGGTAGGTAGAGGTTCCTCGTGGTCCCATCCAGGTGTGCTGCTGTTTCTCTAAGCTCACAGCATCCCTGGCCTGGCTGAGAATCTTTGGATACTGGGGCTCAGAGCTGGGAGGCCCAGAGACAAGGACCCGAGCATCTGCCATTTGGTAGAACTTACCAGCAACATGACACCTAGCCTGCCACCAGACTGTGACAGAAGCAGAGTCCAGGCCTCTTCATGACATCGAAACAGACAGAGGGACACTTCTGAGTTCCCCACAAACCCACTCTAGGCTGAGCTTGGGAAACAGTTCTGATTTTGAGAAAGAAAACGAATGTTTGGGTACATGTGTTTGTGCCCATACCCATGTGAGTGAGCATGTGCTTGTGTGCGCGCCTGTGTGTGCGCGCCTGTGTGTGCACGCCTGTGTGTGTGCGCATACAGCAACTTCAGTAGTCATTTCTGGTGCTGACTATTGAGCCCCAGGAATCTGCCTACCTCACCTCCCCACTGCTGAGGTTAGAAGTATATACCCCCACAGCCAGCTTTTTTATGTTTTATTTTTAATGAGTCCTGGTGATCCAATCCAGATCTTCATGCTTGCTTGAAGCTGGCTCTTTACCAGCTGAGCCATCTCTCCAGGCCCTCCCTCACCCCAATTTTGAAATTTCCACGTGTGAAATCAGCTTGTGAGGCCCACTCTGGTGTTGTTTAAATATAGTCGCTAGCGTATACCGAAAACGTGTGAATTTGGGGTGATCTCATGTAATTACCTTAACTTAGAAAGTGTTCAAACACTGGAGTTTTCTAAATAGAGACCTCAAGTGTCCTGCACATATTTTGGAGATGTAAGTGAAGGAGCCTGGGCCCTTCCTTGGGAAGATTCCTTCTTTATTATTGAACAACGCATCTCTCCTCCCTGTCATATTGGTGTGAGAAATCTCTGCCTTTTACAAAGTGACAGGTAATAGGGATTTTCAATGCCCCTAACTTGGTGAAAAATAAACAGATTGCTAACCTGTTCTTTCAGCCTCCTTGAGTCTCATTTAAACTGTGTCTCCCCACCCAGTGACATCTCAGAACTCCAGCATCCCTGTGCCTGCACCAGGTGAGCTCTAGGAGTCTCATTTCAGTTAGCTAACTGGCACCCTTTGAGACACAGTCTCATGTAGTCTAAGCTGCTCTCAAACTTACTAAGGAACAGAGGCTGACCTTGAATCCGACTCCCCTGCCTCCTCCACCCACCAGGTGCTGGGATTAGGGGTGTGCACCCATATGCTCCCGGAAAGCGTCTCATTTTCTATTTCAAAGAAAGTCAGAGGGATTCAGACTACCCAGAGGTTCGAACCCACCCAGCTGCAGAAGCCGGATGCTGCCCTCTCTAGCCAGGGTGAGTCCCAGGTAGTACAGGGCTGTGCTTCTCTTCCTCTAGAAGAAACATGAGCTCCAGGTCTGGTTTGAAGAAAGCCAAGGTTTAAGAAAATGAACTCAGATAAAACATGAAAGTCTAAAAAGGCTCTCACCTGTTTCCACCTCCATCCCTGAGGGCATGCAGGTGCTGAGGAGATTCACAAAGGTTTAGGCAATCCTACCCCAGCCCTATCTGAGGAAATGCTGGGGGTGTTTTCTAGCTTTGCAAATGGGTTTATTTAATATCTACAGAGCAGATTTATAGAGTTAATTTGGCTTCTACTCGAGTAAAAGGTCTCTGGAGGGTGATAATGACAGTTCGGTTCCAGAAATCGAAGGAAAAGTCAATACAGCGCTGGCCTGGAGCTGGGGGAGCTCCCAGGCCCAGAGCCAACTTCACAAGTGCCAGCTCAGCCATCCTGGGAGCTTGCCAAGCTGGGGTCAGAGTCCCTCTCTAAGTCCTTGGGTTAAGTCCTGGGGTGCTGCCCAGCCCAATGGAACACAGAAGAAGAAAGGTCCAAGACCTTGGGACGTGCATCAGGAATACAGCAGAGGGGGCCTCCACTGTGGGAGGAACCCCCAGAGCAGAGCCCACACGGGGCATTAGCAGAGGAAGTTGGGGTAAAACTGATAATCAGGATTGTAGTTCCAGAGGTTTCTCCGCAAGCAGTAGACCAGCGTCCGATCACAATCACAAAGCCTCGTCGAACAGTAGGACCCGTATTCTACAAAACAGACACCAAGTGCCGAGTAAGCACAGGAAAATTGTGCCCCACCAATACTGACTTGTTCAAAGTCATATCAGAGGGTGTCTTCTAGTCTGCATAGACCCCCCAATCTTTGTCCTGCTCTGAGGGATCCCATAGTGGGTGGAGGAGGAATCTGCTCCAGGGTGAGACAGAATCTGATGGCAGAGCTGTGGCTCCTGAGTTAGGGAGATGTGTAATCTGATGGAGGAGGCTCGGCTCCTGAACTAGAGGGCCAAGATCTCGAGGTTTCCACTCAGGGAGTACCTGGTCTGGTGGAACAGACGCATGTCCTTTGGGTGGAGTGCCTAACTTGAGGGTGGAGACAGTTTCTGTGGGAGACATTAAATAGAGATGCACCTGGGGCCTGGCTGTGAACTCAGGGCCCTGGCACGAGCCCCTCCTGCTGCACACTGGCAAACCTTTGGGCTTCAGTTACACATGGGAAATAAGGGAGGTGAAACCTACTCTGTCCAGGAAGAGGAAATCTGCAAGCCCATAGCACCTAGTAAAGAATGGGTCTAAACCGGGCCCACCCTTCCCCAGAAACCTAGAAAGACTGCAACAGCCTGGCCCCTCATCCTCACTCTGCCTCACAAGATACAAGCTGGCCCATCTCTTGGGCAGCATGACACCCTGTCTGAATGGGAAGCCCCCCTTACCGCAGGTGACCAGTCCCCCTGTGACTCTGTAGTCATAGGACTGAAACCGGATGTCACAGCCTTTCTTCTCCAGTTCCCCATAACAGCGGTCATGCGCCCAACAGCACCTGTCAAAGTGAGAGATGGGGACGCTGAGTGGACAGGCACCCCTCTGACCTCTGTACCTGGGAGAGATTCCAAGATGAGAGAAAGTTCATGTCAAATCTAAACGAAATCAGAGCCAGAGGTGCTTGAGGGGTGGGGAGACACACGATGATGTGGTGCTTGGCTGTTTAAGTTCTCTCTGAAGGACTTTCTAACCTCCCGCCCCTACGAGAGGGTCTCTCCTTGTCCTGCATGCACCCCAAGCTTTATGCAGCTTGCCTGAGAAAGTTGGGCTTTCTCTAAGCCCGTGACAGTTCAGGCAAGATGCTCTACATAGAAGGCTTGCCTAGTAACAGCACCTCCACCAATGAGCCAATGCTAGCACTTGCCTCTGGCCTCCACGACCAATGAGCTTGGCATCCAAGCAGCTTATGTAAAAGCTCTGGTTCTCCTGCTAATTAAAACTTCCCCTTATCTCACCCTCCTTGAATAGGCCCATGGTGTCTACGGCATGCATATTTTCCTTACAGTGCACCCTGTTCCCAAATCAATAGTCATTCTTTGGAGATTCTCTCTGAATGTTATTTAGCCTGACATCCCGAGTAGGTGTGAAACTACAACCATATCCTCCTGGCAGAAGCTGTGGCAGTGAGTGTGAACTGGCAGGGATGGTGTCACCCACTAGAACTGCCACTGATCAGAAGTCCACGGGCCCGCTTCTGCCTCCTGGTGGCTAGGTGGAGTGTAGGTGTGACGGTTTGAATGAAAATGGCCCCCATAGGCTCACAGGGACTGGCACTATCAGGAGGTGTGTTCTTGTTAGCATAGGTATGGCCTTGTTGGAGGAAGTTTCAAATGCTCAAGTTGGGCCCAGTGTCACTCCCCGCCTGGCCCTTGCTAATGCAGATGTAGATCTCTCAGCCACCTCTCCAGTGCCATGTCTGCCTGCCTGCTGCCATGCTCCCCATCAAGACAATACTGGACTAAACCTCTGAACTGCAAATCCAAATTAAATACTTTCCTTTATTAGAGTTGCCGTGGTCATAGTGTCTCTTTACAGCAACAGAACTCTAAGACAGAAGTCGGTACCAGGGACTGTGGTACTGCCCTGATAGGCTGGGCCATGCTTTTGTCTGGAGGAATGTGCAACACTTTGGGACTTGGCACTAGAAAAGTGACTGAACACTTTAAGCGAGGCTTAATGGGCCATACTAGTGGCTAATGGAAGACAGTGGTGCTGAGGGTGATTTGAATGGGGGAGGGGTTTATTGCAGTGTAAGAGGGTTCAGAGCAGAACATCAATATGCGGCCTAGAGACTGCTCTTGTGATACAGAATATGACTGCTTCCTGCCCTTGTTCAAAAAATATCTGCCTGAAGCTAAACTGAATAGCTATGAATTACCAGCTTTGGCAGTAATTTGGCAGAAAAGAGGTCTTTCCAAAACGACTTAATATTGATTGTGTTGCTTGGTTATTACTGGCCAGTCTTATGCAGGTTGCAAGCTGAGTAAGGAAAAATTGGGGGGAAAAAGTACAGTTTGAGGTGAAAGGGGGAACCAGAAAGTATAATGGAGCTAAGTCCTGTATTCAAGGAGATAAAGAGGTTAAAGAAAAGTCTGCTGCTAGATGGAATACAGAGGGTGGTGACCTCAGAGAAAGACCCCACCCAGCTAAGCTTCCAATTTGTATGAAGGAATTAAAGCAAAGTTTAAGGCCAGGTGTGGTGGCACACACCTTTAATCTGAACACTGGGGAGGTAGGAGTAGGTAGATTGTAGAGGTCAAGGCCAGCCTGGTTTCAGAACAGCCAGGCATAGGCAGTGAAGGAGACCATCAACACCAGAAAACTGGTGTTTGAACAAGGGGCCCATGTTCCAGCCCCAGCAAGCAGAACCTGGCAGCTTCAGCCACGTGGTTCTGGCTTTCGAGTGAAGGATACAAGAAAGGAGCTGTGCAGTCTCCCTCCCGACTAAGGAAGGCCACTGAGGCCAGGTTTATGTCAGCGGTGCCCCTGCAAGGAGGCCTGGAGGTGCCATTGTGTGAAGCTGTGAAGGTGAAGCCTGGATTGCCTTGGAGACCCCATGACGTTGGAGATGCCAGAGCCGTGGGAATGGTGACACTCCCCTATCAAAAGGTAGAATCCAGATCTTTCCTCTCTCTTTTCAAGTTGACACACAGTAACTAGGCATATTGATGGGCACAATGGGGTACTATACATCCCATTAAAACTGTTCATCTTGGGATACTATACATCCCATTAGAACTGTTCATCTTGACTGTCAGCTTGACCGGATTAGTAGCTGTCTAGATGATTATAGAATCTTGAATGTGTCTATGAGGGATTCTCTAGTGATTCGATCATGGAGGCTAACGAGTGGCTTCATCCACTGATGGATTCAGAATACGATGGCATTATTAGGATGAAGCCAAAGGTGGAAGCAAGACCTAGTTAAATGAAGCGGGCCACTGGAAGTGTGTCTCTGGTGATGATAACCTTGCCCTGTCATCTTTCTGTATCCTTCACTCTGCTTCCTGCTCACCATGAAGGGGCTCCGGTGGCAGATATTCCACCATCATATCCTGCCTCAAAACAGGCCCAGAAACACGGCCCCAAGTGGCCATGAGCTGAATGCTTTGAAACTGTGTGCCAGAATAGCTGATTATGTTCTTCAGTTGTTCTGACAGTTATTTCATCACTGTGTGTGTGTGTGTGTGTGTGTGTGTGTGTGTGTGTGTGTGTGAGAGAGAGAGAGAGAGAGAGAGAGAGAAGTAATTAAAGTACCCATGACACTGCATAGCCATCATAGCGATGCAAATCACTTACCCATCACCTCAAACACACATTTCTTTGTGGCGAGACCATCCAAGATCTCTCTTGGGCTGCTCATCTCCTGAGCTGCTCACTGCCCATTGACTGCAGTCATAGAACATCGATGCTTATTCCTCCTCTGTTGGATCTGTGCAATCATTGGCTAGCCTAGGTCTCCTCCTGATGCATCTGTGCAATCATTGGCTAGAATAGGTCTCCTCCCAATGCATCTGTGCAATCATTGGCTAGCCTAGGTCTCCTCCCAATGCATCTGTGCACTCATTGGCTAGCCTAGGTCTCCTCCCGATGCATCTGTGCACTCATTGGCTAGCCTAGGTCTCCTCCCGATGCATCTGTGCAATCATTGGCTACCCTAGGTCTCTCCTCTCTTGAGCATTTGTGGTTGGACCAATTAAGAGGGCCACATAAGCAATACCGTGGAGCGTCAGAGGCCTAGGACAAAAAAATACTATCTTGTACTGTTGTTGTTGAGACAGGGTCTTGACAGGCAACTGGGACTGATCTAGAACTTGCTCTATAGCTCACATCAGCTTCAAACTCTTGCTCTTACTGCCTCTACCTCTCCAGAACTGGGATTGCAGGCTCACACTCCTTCACCTTGTAGTTTGGGAATGTTTGTTCATAACCTCCCAAGAGTCTACCATGCTGTTAGAAAGTCAAGAAAACCCTGCAAAGAACTCATAGAAAGGGCCCGAGATTCCACCTATCAGACAGCAACAACCCAAGTCACAGCCATGATCCACCTGTGGTGTAGATCAACCAGCCCCAGCCAAGTTTTGCAAAAGGAAACTGAACAGATAGGAGCCATTCTGCCGTGGCCTCCCCAGACATCAGGTCCATGGGCAAAGTAAACAATCGTGTTTGCATTAAGCCAACACGTAAGGATCATTTGTTATATTGCAATAAACCAAGTGACAAATTAAGCCATTGAGATATTGGGACTCTTGGGAGTTACATGGCATATCTTTAAAAGCGGTTTAATTCCTCTGAGTCTTAGTTCTCCTTATTTTAAAGATTTATTTTAGAAGCCAGGTGTAGGGGTGCACTTCTTTAATTCCAGCACTAGGGAGGCAGAGGCAGACAGATCTTTGTGAGTTCAAAGCCAGCCTGGTCTACAGGGTGAGTTCCAGAGCTACATAGTGAGACCCTATCTCGAAAAAGTTAAATTTAAAAAAATATATATTTTAGTTTCAGGTGTGTGTGTGTGTGTGTGTGTGTGTGTGTGTGCATGCACATGTGAGCACTGGTGGCCAAAGAGGCCTGAGATATCAGGTCCCCAGCAGCTGGAGTTACAGGTGGTTGGGAGCTGACTAACATGGGTGCTGAGAACTGAACTCGGGTCCCCTGCAAGAGAAGTGTGCACTCTTAAGCACTGAGCCATCTCTCTGGTCTTGAGCCTCAGTGGTAGACTAGACACAGAATCAAAGGGGGTAATGAGAGCAGAGCCCAGGGCATTAAAGGTGGTAATGTCAACTCACCAATCAGTATTATCCTTGGGCATCCCTTTGCCGCCAAAGCCACAGTAGCAGCCATAGAAGCCAAAGTCCAATATTGGATCCATCCCAGTCACTTCGTCGATCATGGACCTCAATTCTATGAAGCCTCCGGGCACTGCAGGCACACCTGCAAAACAGCCCAAGCCTCCAGGTGACACTGGGCATGCTGCAGCAACCCCACTTGGGGGCCGGGGATGTGACTCAGTTGACAAAGGGCTCGCCTAGCATGCGTGAAGACCTAGTTTTGACCACCAGCACTTTGCAAACTGGGTGTGGAACAGGCCTTTTCCTAGCACTCACGAGGTGGATGCAGGAGATCCAGAAGTTCACGGTCATCCTTGACTACGTAGAGAGTTCAAGGCCAGCCTGGGTTACATGAGATACTTTCTTTAAAAAAAAAAAAATCAAAAATCGAATTTAGAAGCAGAGTTTGGAGCCAGCTCCCTTGCGTCACAAATTGGGAAACTAAGACTCCTATAAGTCTAGAAGGAAGGATGTTGCCTAGGGTTTTCAATGTAAGGAGCCAGGGGCTCCTTTCCTGCCTTGGGTCTCAAGTTCCTCCTAGGATCTCCAGATAGCTGGAAAGGCATCAAAGAGCAGAGTTGCCCATCAGGGACTTGTATGAGGGGCTAGGGAGCTACAATGAAGCCTAAAGTCAGATGCATTGTACCAGGCCCTCAGACCTTAGCATGACTGACTCCATGAGGGAAGTACCACTTGGGCCATAAAAAGCAGCACATAGACAGCACCACCTGCCAAAATGAAAGCAACAGCCTAATTCATTAAAGTTCAAACTGGGAAAGTTTCTAATTGTACTAACCTTGCTTTTTACCTTCTGTTGGTTCCGCTTCGGGCTAACTGTTCTTGTTAACTGAAGTCGGTCAAGCCAGGATATGGTTTTTTGTACTTAAAAGCACACCCGGGGAAAAGTTCAAGGCTACACTGTGAACATCCAGTGTGGCTGCCAGCCCCACTAGTAGACGTTCTATTGACTTAAACCCAGGTCCAAGTAGTCTTCTCTGAGGGCTGCCCTGCAACTTTTCAGAACCTTCCAGATGGGGTAGTATGCAGAAATACTGAACAGAGAATGACTCCAGAATCATCAACTGGAGTCTGTCTGTCTGTCTGTCTATCTATCTATCTATCTATCTATCTACCTATCTATCTGTCATCGACCTAGCCATTGAACCTAATGCACCACTGTGCTGCAAGCGCCCTGCTGCTGAGCTGGCCCCCAGCCCGGGGCTGGGATATTTCTGAAGGATTTTGTGCTCTACTTTATTCTCGTTGTTTGTCCTTATTCTATTTTTATACTTCGGGGGGATATCTGCCTCCCACATTTACAAGCTCCACGTCTTCATGTTCATAGCCGTCACACCCTGACCTACAGTATCCAAATCCTGCCACAGCACCATGTCCACCAGTGCAAACGCAGGGGCCCAGGGAGATCAAGGCCTTTGCTGATATCTTTGTTTGCCCCGTCAGCACAGAGCTGAGGCTCAGACGTAGGTCTCTGAGCCTCAAAGGCTGCTGGTCACCTTTCTTTCCTCTACCCATCACTCCCAAGGCTGGGGGAGGAGGACATCCAGAGATCAAGGAGCCAACACTTACTGCAGACCAGGAACCAAGCCAGTATGAGGAGGCCCTTCATCTCTTGGGTTCTGGAAAACAAAACACATCCCATGGTGTCTTTTAAATCATCGCTGCTGAGGCCTGTTCGGTCCACACCCAACTCCAAATTAGGTCTGGGTGTTCCCTCCTTCATTGGGTAATCCACAGACAGCTCCAGCCGGAAAAGACAGGCAAAGCCTACAGGCCTTGATCCTCCGAATTCCCTGGAGACAGAAGGCCATTACTGACTCTAGCAGAAAGTGGGGATGACAAGTACCCCCTACGTTTGTGCCCTGGCAGATGTGTAAGTGGATATGGCTGGCACAAGATTAAGGGCAGGAACTGGCAGGCCCTAGGTCCAGCTAAGGATCAGTGTGGCGGGCTGTTGGTGAGGTGGCTCAGTGGGTAAAGGTGCCTACTACAAGCCTGGTGACTTGAGTTTGACCCCTGGGTCCTCCGTGGTAGGAGAGAACTGATTCCCACAAGTTGTCCTTTGATCTCCAGGAGCACACCTTTATACATACACACCGTGTACCAAACAGAATGTAAATAAAGGGAAGAGGAGCTGGGGCGCTGAGGGAGGAGAGAGCTGGAGCATTGAGAGAGGAGGGAACTGAAGCACTGAGGGAGGAGGGAGCTAAAGCGCTGAAAGAGGAGGGAGCGCTGAGGGAGGAGGGAGCTGGAGTACTGCGGGCAGAGGGAGCTGGAGCACTGAGGGCAGAGGGAGCTGGAGCATTGCGGGAGGAGGGAACTGAAGCATTGAGGGATGAGGGAGCTGGAGCACTAAGGGAGGAGGGAGCTGGAGCATTATGAGAGGAGGGAACTGGAACTTAAGGGAGGAGGGAGCTGGAGCACTAAGGGCAGACGGAGCTGGAACGCTGAGGGAGGTGTGATGGAGGAGGGTTATCTGTCTATTGTGTTATTTTCATTGGTCAATAAAGAGACTGCCTTGGCCCCTTGATAGGACAGAAAATTAGGTAGGCGGAGTAAACAGAACAAAATGCTGGGAAGAGGGCTATGAGCCAGACGCCATGGAGCCAGCCACCAGGTCAGACATGCTGAATCTTTTCCGGTAAGCCACTACCTCGTGGTGCTACCACGAGATTATTAGAAATGGGTTAATATCAAGATATGAGAGTTAGTCAGTAACTAACTCTCTAGAGATAATGGGTCAGGCAGTGTTTAAATGAATATAACTTGTGTGTTATTATTTCTGGGGCTAAGCTAGCTGTGCGGGAGCCGGGCAGGATGAAAAGCAGGCCTGCCCGCAGCTCCTTTCTACAGAGGTGGGCACTGGAGCACTGAGGGAGGTGTGAGCTGGAGCGCTGAGGGAGGAGGGAACTGACACTTGTATCTTGCTCCTGAAGTTCATGGGACTAATGTCTCTGAGCTCCCTGATGGTTATTTGAGGGCTGTAGCTGTTGGTTTGGGCACTATTGCCACACTGAGAATGGTGGCTGGCCAGATAGTTGCTCTGGAATGGAGTCCAGGACCCATAGTGAGTCCTGGCCTTTGGGGGCTTCACTATGGCTTTGTGGCCCCAAGGCACACTGCAGGTCTCTGACAGTCTACAGGTGTCACTGTTCCCATGGGAACAATGAGGCTCAGAAACTGCCCAGAATCTGCCAGAGGTCACTCAGCGAATGGAGTGGAATCAGAATGTGAACCCGGGTCTGGCCCCTCTCTACACTGTGCCAGCCCTCCTCCAGAGGTAATGTCTCTCAGTCCTGGCATTCTGTCTTCCTTGAAACTCATCCTCTAGGACTCTGCCTTAGTGTCTGTCTTTAACAAAAACACAGTTCCCGGCTGGAAGTTTGCTGGCAGTCCTGGCCAATAGGCCGAGGAAAGGTTTCCAAGGTGGCCTCTAGAAGGTTCCTCTGCCAGAAGCTGTCTGCTCTTCTCCACTCCCAGAATCCCTGACCCCTGAGTGTGCACAGCTTTCCAGCTGGTCTGTGGCCAGCTAGGACTTCCTTTCAGATGCCACACTGTCTCCAAGCCCCCCAAGGGGCCGGTGCTCTCTGCCCAGGTCCCTGGAACCCCGCAAAGGCCTGGTCTCCAAACACAGCATTTTAGACTCCTGGGACTTCTGGCTACTGAGCTGGCCTTTGTCCAGCAGCACCTCTGAGTTCCAAGAACATTCCTGAGAGTGCTGTCCCCACACAGCCTGTGCTCTGAGGCCTCCAGGCACCCAGATCCCCAGATCAAACCACCCGAGACACAAGTTCCCACAGTCATCCCCTCTGCTGCTTTCCTGAGGTTGTTCTGAAGTAAAGACGCCAGAGGCTACACACTGGGCATCTCCAATGTGCCAGACACTGTTCATATCACTCCCAAGCCAGCCATGGCCCTGACAGGGTACCTACAGACAAGCCGCTGTTTCTCCCCTTCAGTGGGATTTGTCCGATGAGAGGATGAATGGATAACAGTTGTTGATTTGACAGATTCAGGAACTGTGAGGCTCTGGCAAGGGGCTGGGGAGATGGATCCATGAGTTAAAGCCTTGTTGGGCAAGTATAGGGATGTGTGTGGCTCTAGCACCCACCTAAGGCAAGCTGGGTGTTTGCATCTGCCTCTACCCTAGTGCTGTGGGGCTCAGCCCTGGGATTGGCTGACTTATTCCAGATTCTCCAGATTCACTGAGTAAGTGACCCTGTCTCAAGGGAGTAAGGGGGCAGGGTGATAGAGCAGGTCACCCAGTAGTGCTCTCAGACCTCTGTGCTCACATATAGAATGTGCACACACGCGCGTGTGCGCGCACACACACACACACACACACGAGGGGGGAGGGGAGGGGAAGGAGGCAAGAGAGGGGGAGGGAAAGAGAGGGAGGGAGGGAGAAAGGGAGAGAAAGGGAGGGAGACAGGGAGAAAAGGAGAGAAGGAGGAAGGGAGAGAGGGAGGGTGGGAGAGGGGAAGAGAAAGAGAAAGAGAGAGACAGACAGAGAGAGAGAGAGAGAGACAGAGACAGAGACAGAGAGAGAGACAGAGAGAGAGAGACCTTGCATGGGTGAAACAGTTACCCAAAGATTTAGCCCAATCTGGTGAATCCCTCCTACTGACTCTTCACTTCTCTGAGTTACCAGGTGGTTAACTCTGTTTTTCTTTTCCTGATTTCTTTTAGTCTTAACTTCTTTCCCTCCCCTCCACTCCCCTCCCCTCCTCCTCCTCCTTCTTCTCCTTCTCCATCTCCTTCTCCTTCTCCTTCTTCTTCTTCTCCTTCTTCTTCTTCTCTCTCTCTCCCTCTCTCCCCGCCTCTCCCTCTTTTTTTTTTTCTTTTGTAGGGGTGTCCTGAAGTCCAAACTGACTTTGAACTACATAGCCAAGGCTGACTTTGAATTTTTGATCCCCTTCCCCCCACCCCTCGACTGCAGGCACGCACCAACCACTGGTCAGCTTATATGGTGCTGGGCGGCACCCAGGGCTTCATGCATGCTGGGCAAGCACTCTGCCAACTGAGCTACATTCCCGGCCCATGTATTTTCTTTCATAAAGCCTTGACATCTCAAGGATCTTAATGAATAGAAGGTGCCCATGTAGGCTAGCCAATTCCTACACAGCTAGCACCCGGCTCTCCTGTGGGCATGCTTTTCACATGCCAGTCAAGCAAGTCAAAACCTTCAGCCCCAGCTCCCACACACTTAACTCTCACAGGCCAGTCCAATCAATGTTAGCCCAATGGACCCTCGAGAGAAGCCCAGAGCTGCCCAAGCGAATCTCACTAGCCAACCCATTCTGCTCCCTCTCTTGCCCTTCAGACTCGCTCATGCCAGTGACAACCCCACCCAGTGACCCTTGGCTCTGTAGCCCTCTTCTCCTGTGTAGGGAAGACTCTTAAATAATCATTGTCTTTCTGACCTGCTCTCCTCACCCGGGACTCTACAGAGCTCCTTGGGCTGCACCATTGCTGTGTGGATAAGGGAGTTCCTACAAAAGAATTGCAAAAAAAAAAAAAAAAAAAAAAAAAAAGACACGTTGGGGAGAGGAGCTGGCAGTAGGGCCTGGAGACAGCTGTCCAGCTGACCATCGGTAGAGCCCAGGGCAGCCCCGAGACAAGGCTGTGGCTTGTCTGTTTTTATCTGATAATCACAGGGGCACTGGCTGATAATTTCAGAGTGGAGTAGGGCTGCAATACTGAAAGGTGGGAAGGCCAAGGCAGACGTAAAGGAACACAGAGGAGAATGTGGAAACCAGGGAGCTGCCAAGGTCATGTGAGGAACAGGCCCTTCAAGGCCACATGAGGGAGCCCCTTAAGCCCCAGACCCCCACTCCTATCTCCTGCCTGGAAAAGAATACCATGGTCCAGTTAGCTTTGAGATGACGGCAGCACCCTGTGCTGCCTCTGCTCCCCCACAGAGGGGCAGGCCCCACTCACCCCTACTGGGAAGCCCCAAGAATGATAGCCTCACCTGAGGGCCCCTCTCTGTCCTCAGTTCCAGAGAATGGGCAGCAGCTGGGCCTGCTTGGTTTTAAGCCGGACTTGACGCCTCCCACAAGCTGCCTGGGCCACCTCCAAGTTTCCTGGGAACTCAAAGAGGCCCACTTCAAAACCCCCTGTTGCTCTTCCCTCTAGATTCTTGCTGCAGGCCTCAGGGCTGGGTAGCTTTCAGGAGAGATCTCTGAAGGGACTGGCTTGAGCTGACCTGGGTCCAAGGCTGTATTTCCCACCAGAGAGGGAGCCCTGGATCCCCACCCAGACGCACTTCCTCTGCGACAGTAGGCCTTTGTGGAATGATCCAGTCTCTGGTTCCTTGTGGTTTTCCAGCCACAACTTCTATTAGAAGCAAAATAGAAGCAACAACTTCTATTTTGTTCTGTCTTCTTCGGCCTCAGTTCAGAGCCAGGTCAACTCTGTCTTCCTTCTCTCCTTCAGCCTCAACATTCTCTGGAGCCTGTAAAGCCCCTCCCCCCACTCTGGGGACACTGCAAGATGCCACTTCCTTAGTCTAGATGGTACCACTGTTGACATCTGACTCACTCCCTATGGAATTCTTACACCAGCTTGTCCCCAGTAGCTATTTAGTAGCTGTGTGACCCTGGGCAAGTAACGAAACCTCTCTGTTTCTTCAGATGAAACACTAAACACAATGACGCCCCCCATAAGCCAGTTCTGGACTGTTGGGGAATATTATTTTCAGGTGTGCTGCTTTTGTTTATGCTGCATTTTTTTTAACTCTGTGGAGCTGTGATTATTTGCCTGTCTAAAACACCTGATGGTCTAAGAAAGCGCTGAATATCCGAGAGCAAGGCAGGGGCAAGGGTAGGCGGGGCTGGCAGACAGAGAGAATAAGTAGAAGGAGAAATGAGGATGAGGAGGAGCAACAAGACAGCGAGGGGAGGTGGACATCAGGGGCCAGCCGGCCAGTCACCCAGTCACCCAACCAGCCATGGAGTAAGAAAGAAAGTCAGGCATACAGAAGTAAGGAAAGGAAAAATCCCAGAGGCAAAAGGTAGGCAGGATAATTTAAGTAAAAAACATTCAAGAAACAAGGCAAGCTAAGGCTGGGCACTCATGAAAAAGAATAAACCTCCACGTGTGTGATGGGGGACTGGGGGGCTGAGTGGTGGATCCTTTAAAAAAACCAAAAGAGTAAAGCATCACACAACACTGAACAAACTATTAAGTAATGTCACACAGAAGAGCATGTGGCTCAGTGGGTAATGTCACAGCTTCTACATCTTGGGTTCAAATCTAAACGTGGTCACTGACTGAAAACATCGTCTCAGGTAGTTTGCCTGCTTGGAGAAGCAGCCCTGAGCCTTAAAGGAATCAGTGCACATCTTAACACTGGTCACAATGGTCAAGGCCAAACGCTGCTAGCAAATGAATGATGGAGTGTTCTAGAAACAGTACAGCGTGCACTAGTGTGAATCCAGAAAGCTCTCTCCATCCATCATCATCACGGCCATTATCACCTCCTCCTTCTCCTTCCGCTCCTCAGTGCAGCTAAACTGGCTAGCCGTCAAGCCCCAGAGATACCTAGGACAATCAGTGTATGCCACCATGCCTGGCTTTATTTTAATGCTAGGGATCAAAGTTGGAGCCTCATTTACTTATTTACTTGTGTGACAAGCACTCTGCTGCCTGAGCTATCTCCACAGCCCTCCTGACTCTCTACCCTGCCCCCCTCCTATCTCTCTCTCTCTCTCTCTCTCTCTCTCTCTCTCTCTCTCTCTCTCTCTC